GGCTGAGGCAGGTGATCACCTGAGGTCAGGAGTTTGAGACCAGCCTGACCAACATGGTGAAATCTTGTCTCTACTAAAAATACAAAAATTAGCAGGGCATGGTGGCAGGCACCTGTAATCCTACCTACCTGGGAGGGAGGCTGAGGCACGGGAATTGCTTAAACCTGGGAAGTGGAGGTTGCAGTGAGCCGAGATTGTGCCACTTGACTCCAGCATGGGCAACAGAGTAAGACTTTGTCTCAAACAAACCAAAAAAAAAAAAAAGCCTCTGGAAACGGGAATGAACGTCTGCATTTTAACAAGGTGCCCTAGGTGATTTTTAAGTTTTAGAATTAGCCAAAAGGGTAAAGTCCACATTCTTTAGCAGACACTCAAGGCCCTTCTAATTAGATTCTAATATGTGGCCTGATCTCTGCCCACTACCCACTCTGCCAGACTACTTCCATTTCCTGCACATGTCAAATTCAGGTCTCAGGTTTTCACTCACACTGCTCTCTCCATTCTGTCTCCTACGTCATGACTAATTCTTCAAGATCATGCTCAAACAGTTGTAGTGGAGATAATTATCTTGTCCAGGTCCTGTCAAACTGCAGAGTCCTCCTAGAGGGCCTACCATAATACAGGACACATGAGATAAATAGCTGGACATGGTGGCACACGCCTGTAGTCCCAGCTACTTGGGAGTCTGAGGCAGGAGAAATGCTTGGACCCAGGAGGCAGAGATTGTAGTGAGCCGAGATCACACCACTGCACTATAGCCTGGACGACAGTGTGAGACTCCATCTCAAAAGAAAAAAAAAAAAAATTCCAACAGCTTACTGCCTCAAGGGAACTCAGCTAAGTTACAACGTGAAAAAAGAAGAGTGACAACTGAGGGATAAAATGAGTACCAAAACCAGAATTTTATTTGCAACAATTTTAAAGTCAGCAGACAAACTCAGAGAGCGACTAAATCCAGGGAAAACGTGGTATAAACTGAACGACCGCTCTGTGTTTCGAGGTCATAAAAGAGAATTATTTTTCTACAGCCTATTTCTTTTTTTTGTTAATTCTTTTTATTTTAGAGACAGGGTCTCCCTGTGTCACTGCTGGAGTGCAGTGCCATCATCAGGGCTCCCTGGAGCCTCAAACTCTTGGACTCCAGTGATTCTCTCATCTCAGCCTCCAGAGTAGCTGGGACCACAGGCATGCACTACCACACCTTGCTAATTTTTTTTTTTTTTTTTTTTTATGTGGAGACGGAGTTTCGCTCTTGTTACCCAGGCTGGAGTGCAATGGCGCGATCTCGGCTCACCGCAACTTCCGCCTCCTGGGTTCAGGCAATTCTCCTGCCTCAACCTCCTGAGTAGCTGGGACTACAGGCACGTGCCACCATGCCCAGCTAATTTTTTGTATTTTTAGTAGAGACGGGGTTTCACCATGTTGACCAGGATGGTCTCGATCTCTTGACCTCATGATCCACCCGCCTCGGCCTCCCACAGTGCTGGGATTACAGGCTTGAGCCACCGCGCCCGGCCCACCTTGCTAATTTTTTTAAAAATTTTGTACAGACAGGGTGTCCCTATGTTTATCAGACTGGTCGGTCTCAAATTCCTGGCCTCAAACCATACTCCCACCTTGGCCTCATAAAGTGCTGTGACTATAGGCATGAGCCACGGCACCTGGCTAGCCTACCTCTTAAAGAAAATGATAAACAGGCTGGACGCCATGGCTCACGCCTGTAATCCTAGCACTTTAGGAGGCTCAGGTGGGTGGATCACCTGAGGTCAAGAATTCAAGACCAGCCTGGCCATCGTGGTGAAACCCATCTTTGGAAAAAAAAAAAAGAAAAGAAAATGATAAATAACTGTATTTTAGAAAACTATCCAAAATTGAAATTGAAACATACTCATTCCATAGCACTGCATTTTCTTTCTTTTTTTCTGTTTTGAGATGGAGTCTCGCTCTGTCACCCAGGCTGGCATGTAGTGGAGTGCAGTGGCGAAATCTCAGCTCACTGGCAACCTCCACTTCCAACGTTCAAGTGATTCTCCTTCCCCAGCCTCTTCAGTAGCTGGGACTACAGGCCACCATGCCCAGAAAATTCTTTTGTATTTTTTTTTTTTTTTTTGAGACAGAGTTTCGCTCTTGTTACCCAGGCTGGAGTGCAATGGTGCGATCTCGGCTCACCGCAACCTCCGACTCCTGGGTTCAAGCAATTCTCCTGCCTCAGCCTCCCGAGTAGCTGGAACTACAGGCACGTGCCACCATGCCCAGCTAATTTTTGTATTTTTTTAGTAGAGATGGAGTTTCACCTTGTTGACCAGGATGGTCTCAATCTCTTGGCCTCGTGATCCACCCGCCTTGGCCTCCCAAAGTGCTGGGATTACAGGCGTGAGCCACCGTGCCCAGCCTTCTTTTGTATTTTTAGTAGAGACAGGGTTTTACCATGCTGGCCAGGCTGGTCTCAAACTCCTGATTTCAAGTGATCCACCCACCTCAGCCTCCCAAAGTGCTGGGTTTAAAGGCGTGAGCCGCTGTGCCCATCCTGAACTTTCTTATCCTCCACCTCAAAATTTGAAAACCACTGTGTATCATGACTGATGTTACTAAAATGTAAAAAAACTGTATGAGTACTCCAGAAAGAAGGGAAAAAAGTTGAGAAGCACTGATATTCAAGTATTTGATATGAATGAATGATCTGAATTTTTGGTGTCAAATTTTCTTATCTGTGCCACTTCAAATTTTCCTTCTGAGGCCAGGCATGGTGGCTCGTATCTGTAATCCCAGCTACATAGGAGGTGGAGGTGGGAAGGACTGCTTGAGCCCAGGAGTTTGTGAGCTATGATTGCACCACTGCATTCCAGCCTGGGCAACAGAGCCAGACCTTGTCTCTTAAAAAAAAAAAAAGCTGGGCGCGGTGGCTCAAGCCTGTAATCCCAGCACTTTGGGAGGCCGAGGCGGGTGGATCACGAGGTCAAGAGATCGAGACCATCCTGGTCAACATGGTGAAACCCTGTCTCTACTAAAAATACAAAAAATCAGCTGGGCATGGTGGCGCATGCCTGTAATCCCAGCTACTCAGGAGGCTGAGGCAGGAGAATTGCCTGAACCCAGGAGACGGAGGTTGCGGTGAGCCGAGATCGCGCCATTGCACTCCAGCCTGGGTAACAAGAGCGAAACTCCGTCTCAAAAAAAAAAAAAAAAATTCCTTCTAAAAGCCAACCAGTAATTATTTATGTATTTTAATTGATTTAAGGCAGCTTATAGATGTATAGCTAATGAAAACGTTAAATTACATTTGTTAAAAAGTACATTAGAAAAAATAACGAATAAAATGGCCTGGCGTGGCAGCTCACACCTGTAATCCCAGCACTTTGGGAGGCCAAGGTGGGTGGATCATGAGGTTAGGAGTTTGAGACCAGCCTGGCCAACATGGCAAAACCCCAACTCTACTAAAAATATAGAAACAGCCGGGCATGGTGGCGCACGCCTGTAATCCCAGCTACTCGGGAGGCTGAGACAGGAGAATTGCTTGAACCTGGGAGGTGGGGGTTGCAGTGAGCTGAAATCATACCACTGCACTGCAGCCTAGATGACAGAATGAGACTCCGCCTCAAAAAAAAAAACAAAACCAATTAGCTAATAAAATATAAACAAGTGATTAAAAAATCCAGGCAAAGAGAAAACAAAGGCAAGAAATAATAAGTGAAAATTAGACGTAAAGTCAAATCCACTAAACCTATGGGTTGTTTACATCCAGTTACAAAAAGGTCAGTACACCATCTAAAACAGGGCAGCATCAGAGAACGTATCATCAAAACCATTTCTCTAATATGTTAAATGATCTTCTCAGAATCCTTTCCACTATTATCAACCTTCAAAAAGGCAGCATAAACAAACAAACCAAATAAAAAACCTAATTCCAAAGCCTATTCACTGGCTAAGATCATAAACTTTTGCTATAACCTTATGTCACAGCTCTTGCTACTTATATGTAGGAATGCTGCCAAGACATTAACAGTACATGCCTCTAAACTTTTTTGAATTGTATAAATAATATCTACGCAGATGTCACAGTTGTCATTTTTTACTTTGGGCCTAAATAATGAAAAGACTAGTCAATTGGCTTCCTGGGCATTAGCACCAATAAGCTAAGAAAGCTACACAGGCCTATTATGAGTAGGAAGGGTTATCACTGATGGAGACAGAGAACAGGAACTAACATTTCTTAGATATGATATGCCAAATGTCAGATGCCAGAGGACTTAAATGCGTTCTCTCATTCGGTTCTCCTAAGTCCTCTGAAACAAACATCATAATGAATATAACATATATAATGCATACAAGAGAAAACTGAGGGCCAGAAATAATAATTTAGACAAACGAACATGGTGGAGTTGACATTTAAACTCACAGCTGATTGGCTCTTAAGCCACAAGGCCTTCTACAACAAACTACCTTCCCTAAGACATACTATTATTCTAAAAGCCGCTTCTAAGTTAGTTCAATCAATCCCAGTTGCTAAAGAAATCTGAATCCCTGGAAGGAAATCAACTCCTGATTATTGACACTTTAGAGAAGGCATAAAATAACAGTTGTCCTGAGCTAGTAACATTTTGCAGTCAACATTTCCCCAGGAAACTCTTTACTCTTCCTTTTGCATTTTAAAGGGGTGAACTAATCCCATGTGGCAAGATAAATCAGCAAAAGATTTTCTATTTTCCCCCATTCCTGGAGTCTAAAAGCAGATAAAGCACTTAAATTTGGGTCAACTTTTACTATGTGAAGTAATATGGGAGTTACATTAGTAAGCCATCTCTACAGTAAGTATCAGTCCTTCACACTTGACATCCTCACTGATACTTCCATCTGGAGGTTTCTTGGCCCCTCAAACATGTCCAAAAGTCAAGTCCACCCAGGGATGCCAAACAAACAGAAAAAAGATCTAGTTATTTTTCTTAACAAAACATTTCAGCAATTTCCCATTTTTGTTAACGGACCCACCATTCTCCTAGTTATCCACACCTGATACTCAGAATTTAGTGATGGACTTGGAGAAAAGGTGGAGTCAATCAGTAGTCAACGTCAGACAAGTCTTCCCATAAAATGCATCAACACTAACACCACTATTCACTTCTCACAGTCACCATACTAGATCAATCTAGGTTTCTGCTTCTTTCTCATCTAAGAAAACAGTATGTCTAGGCCGGGCGCGGTGGCTCAAGCCTGTAATCCCAGCACTTTGGGAGGCCGAGGCGGGTGGATCACGAGGTCAAGAGATCGAGACCATCCTGGTCAACATGGTGAAACCCCGTCTCTATTAAAAACTACAAAAAATTAGCTGGGCATGGTGGCACGTGCCTGTAGTCCCAGCTACTCAGGAGGCTGAGGCAGGAGAATTGCCTGAACTCAGGAGGCGGAGGTTGCGGTGAGCCGAGATCGCGCCATTGCACTCCAGCCTGGGTAACAAGAGTGAAACTCCGTCTCAAAAAAAAAAAAAAAAAAAAAAAAAAAAAAGAAAACAGTATGTCTTCCATCTAAGTTTTGTATTTTTAAAGTTTTTTTTTCGTATAGGACTTACTCCTAGTAATTTAATATTTCAGTAGCTATTATAGAGAGATCTATTTTTTATTTTACTTGCAAATTGGTTATTATTGGCATGAAGGAAAACTATGCATTTCCTATTGTGTTTTATAGACAGTCACATTTCTGGATTAGTTATAGGATCTTATGCTTTTTGAACCTTATGTTTTCTGGTTGAATAACCGTATCTGCAAAGATGGTAATTTTGTTTCTTCTATCTCAATATTTATGTAACTCATTTCTCCATCTCATAAGCAATCTAGGTACTCCACAGTCACAATGAGTAACAGTGGTAACGAAGGCATCCCTGTTTGGTTTACGAATATACTCCAAATATCTCTACACTTTCTCAATGAAGTGGTACGCTTCTGAAAGTTTCTGCCCTCTTCCTTGAAGGATTATAATACTTTCCATAGGCCGGGCGCGGTGGCTCACGCCTGTAATCCCAGCACTTTGGGAGACCGAGGCGGGTGGATCACAAGGTCAAGAGATCGAGACCATCCTGGTCAACATGGTGAAACCCCGTCTCTACTAAAAATACAAAACATTAGCTGGGCATGGTGGCGCGTGCCTGTAATCCCAGCTACTCAGGAGGCTGAGGCAGGAGAATTGCCTGAACCCAGGCTGGAGTGCAATGGCGCGATCTCGGCTCACCACAGCCTCCGCCTCCTGGGTTCAGGC